ACCATTATGCCATGGAACACCATATTTCTTTATATTACGCGTTTATTTTACTATATGAATTTTTAGTTTTCTGTTAATGTGAACAATTTTCAATTTATACATTTTCTCTCTCTATTCATTTTTGTTTTTTAAAGAAGACACAATTTTTCTAACACATTTGTTTTAATAAAATTGAATAGGAGAAAATTTGTAAATTTTTTTTTTCTTGAATTTATGTAATTTATGTGATTTATAAAACAATATTGTTGTCCCTTAAGAATCAGATTTGGTGGATATATATATATATATATATATATATATATATCAACTTTTACATAAATTAAAAAAAAATGTTAACGTTTTCAACTATATTTGGCATTAAGAATTTTTAATATTTAAACTTTACTCGTACATGCGGTATATACATACCAAATTTTTCTCCTATAATACAATATATTGCGGCAGTCACATTCAAAATATGTTAATATTATTATTGAGTTTCATAAACTAGAATAACAAACTATATTGTTCGTATTTGCTCCCTTCGCTTGTCTCGTATTATTCGATTACATTTTGATTTCCATTTGTGTGCACAATGATAACCATCAATTGCGACAAGTTGCTAGAGATACATTTGTAAACCACGATGGAAAATCAATATTGTATTGACAAACTTGATTATTAACTCAATCTACATAATTGCTGGGCGTAGTTATGCATGGCAATTAATCGAATATTGTGGAAATTTGTATCTTGTTAGCATATACACTATACTACTATTAAATGTAATAATTAATTCTGAGTTAACCATTTTTTAAGTAGAAATTCTTTGATAAATATAAATATGTGTTTGAATCAGGCATAACTAGGTACTTCAACTTTTTTCTGTGCTAACATAACAGTTGAAAAGATTCTAATTTTTATGATTATGATGATTTCTTTCTATTTATATTTTATATTATATTTTTTTTGAACTCCTATTATAGAGTTCTAGCATTTTCATAACACCAGTTGTTATGAATTTTTTCATGATGTGTGTTTTATGAAATATGTAAAATAGATGTAGATAGTTTTTAACTTTTCTCGAATACTATTCTAAGTATAACAGTTACAATAAAAAACAGGGGAGACTAGGTACGGTTGTGCCAGGGTACGGTAGTGACAATCGTCATAACAGCTAAAATAGACTGATCTTGATATAGGGTCTAAAAGGAAGAAAAATGTAAAATGTTGAATGAAGTTTCCATTATTGAGTTCAGTCTGCGCCCTACATAACATGATCTATATAAACCGCATTGCTTTTAAAGATGTAAAGTTTTTTTATTTTAATAATATAAACATAAATAGATTGCTTTGTTGGTTTTTGTATTGATAATTAAAATCATAACGATGATATGTTCTCAAACGTGTGCATTGTGTACGATTGTGACAATATTTGTGGGCATAGTTGTGACATTTATTTCTTGTTTTTAAACAGATAAAAAAACCTAACATAACTAAGACAAAATACAAAAGAGAAAGGGTAAGGAAATTTCACTACAAGAAACAAATAAGATTTTACATAAATTTCTTTTTAAATTTTAGTTATTTTTTTTTAAAAAAAGTTTTGTTATATATTGTTTCATGAATTTACTTCACTTTCTTGTAACGTAGAAACATTTAAGATTTACCACTAAAGCTTGTTTATATTACCCGCTTTGCATTTCAACAGTCATAACATCATCATGACAAACGAAATTTCATTCATTCGTCGGCATACAGGAATCAAAAATAAGTCATGTCTGATAAACAACGTCTCTCTGCTTTGTATGCATATGAGCTTTTATATTATCAGTGGTAGAAAACCCAAAGAGAAGATATTTAATAAGTTTACCAAGTAAACTTTGGTGAGAATTTACTCTCTTCATTCTCATGTGTATGCTCGATAGAGTTAAAAACAGAAACATTTTTAATAATGCAGAAATGCCTCTTTCTCATTTCAAAAATATTGCTTATTAACTTTACCTTTTGAATTAAATTGAAATTATGATCTTTATTTTTGTGAGAGTATCACTTGTGGTAGAGTAAGAGATACTGGGTACAGTTGTGCCACTTTTTTCTATTAACAATAATTTGGTTAATTCACCACTTAGCTGGAATAAAACTGAATTAAATGGTAATTTGAACATCTGTCTACGTTCTATATAACACAACACAACATAATCATTTAAACAAAGTTTATATAACATAAAAAACATAATTTTTTTAAACAAGGTTAAGTTCAAATCTTTATAAAATCTTTTTTAATATTTATTTACTTTATTTTTCGTATTTTATCTTAGTTAGGTTAATGCTTTATCTGTTTAATCCGAAAAGGACAAGAAATACATGTCACAACCGTACCCAACGCACACTTTTGGAAAGAAATCATCGTTATCAGTGAGCTAAATTATCTACGCAAACAAAATAACAAACAAAGCGATCTATCTATATACATGTAACACTTATTATTAAAAGAAATCTAACAAAAAACTTAATTTTTACTCTTTATTAGCAATGCGGTCTACAGATCAGGGAGCCGACTTAAGGCAATAATGTAAACTTGTTTATACAAACATTCATCTTTCTCCAATTCGACCCTATCTCAAAATCTGTATACTTTAGCTGTTACGACGTCTGTCACTACCGTACCCTGGCACAACCGTACTCAGTCACTTCTACTGTGTCAATTTATAGGCGGCTATGTTTTTCATTTAGCTTAAGAAGTATAAAAAAATACTTATAATTGTTCTGAATGGTTACTAGGTTACTAGGTTACTTAGGTTAATAGAAAAAAATTTAACGCGCAGAAAAATTGCGATGATCATCGTACTAATTCTATAAATTATCTGATTTCAAGGATTGTATTTCAAATCCCAAGTACAATAATTGAGCTACATATATAAGGTACTAGGTATAACAATAGTATTATATTAGGCATACGCTATACCATGGGTGGGGAACCTGCGGCCTCCGGGAGGTTTTTGTGCGGCCCCTTGCCGTCTAGTACAAAATAGCAGAGTTACTTTCAAACAACTATTGTACAAAAATCCCACCAAAAACAGTCATATTGTAACATGACATCAGATTACTAGCCTGAAAAACAGACTCTTAGGCAGATACGAAATAGAGATGTAATATATTATATTAATATTATTTAATATAAGCAATATTTTCGATTTCGCAAGACATCGCCTATTATATGATACAAGAAGAAGTATTATAAAAAAAATTAACAGTGCAAAAGAATCGTTAGCACCCGGGTTGAAGATTTTTATGCGTATCCGTAGTAAAATGATAAAAATTTATACTTCTCGCAACCAAAAGCAAATCCGTAGCTTTGGCGGAGATCGGAGCAACCAGATTTTTTCATAAAACACAAAAATATAATTTTAAAAATTGGTGTCTAGTGGCAAGTTACTGAAACTTTCCGTACTGAAAATTACATTTTATAAAAAGTTTTAAATTTTTTTGAAAAATGATGAAAATTGAATTTAAGAAACCTTTTTTTCATATTTCGATTTTTTTTGTAAATTATTAACTTTTATGTATTAAATTTATTAAAATTAAATTTTATTTGAATGATCCGATTCCTATTGATAGCGAAACGCGCTGATTAGTTATTGGCCAAAGCAGGTCCCAAAAATAATAATTCAGTTTTTGAAAAATGAAACGTCCAATATCATTAAAAGAAATTTACATGTATAGACAAAACGGAGAACTGATTAAATTTGTGGGAGGCAGGTCTAGCGGTTTCGATGGTCCAATAAAAAATTTGAAAAAGAAACATTTGGCGGTCAAAAGTGTTCATTAAACATATGCACATCAAATTATCATATATTTTAATAATAAGTATAAATTTTGTTCTAATTTTAGTATGGGTTCTGTATCATTATTTATTCTGCGAGGCGTTATTCTGCGGGGCGACGCTTACGCGCTTCTTTATTTTGTCTCTACGCAGCTAAAGCAGAGCGATCGCTTTAAAAAAAGTTCTTTTTTTATTTTAATTTTTTGTACGGGAAGTTTCAGCAATTTGCCTTAAGGCACGATGCCAAGCACCACTATTTATAGTATGTAATGCGTAATAAATTTTCTGCAATTAAATAGCAATTTTAATTTTGAAAAATGATATATAAAAACTATTTTACCTAAAAATTCAGGGATGGGGCGGCATTTTTGTCAGTGCCCCAGGGCGCCAAATTTCTAAATCCGCCCCTGCGTATTTATATGCACATAATATATAGAATTTATTTATATTTAAATCTTGAAATATAAATATAGAGTAAATTTTTGAAATGAGAACAACTTAAATGCAAAATATAAAGTAACAATACATTTTGTGCATAATAAATACATATTTTAATTAAAATATTTCTTTCACGTGCATTATTATGAGTTTATACATTATCAAATAATACGCTCATTTTTATGGGTAAACATTATCATTCTCTAAATGGATTAGGTACATCATTTATTAATAATATTTTTTAAACTGTATTTTCAAATGTCTGTCAATAGTGTCTAGTCTAGGTATATTTCTTTTGGCAAGAGGTAACGTTGCGTTTAATGCATTAATCCTATTTTTTATTATAACAACTATTGTCCTTAATGACAAAAGGAATATTCATACCGAAAGTTTACAAATAAATTTAATCTGGCTTTTCCAAAGCCCGAAATTCCCTAAATTAAGTTAATTAATTCCCTAAGTTTGCAAAATAAAAATCTATCAGTGAATTCAATGGTATAGGAAAAATATATAATTTCTTATTTCAAATAATTATGTAACAATAAGAAAATGAAAATCAATTTCAAATCAAAACACTTTAATATCATTTTTATATAAAAAATGAATGTTTAAATGATATTAAAACGAACTAAAATATTTATAATTTATTTAAAATTTAATTTATAAAATATTTAAAATTTTTAAGTATTTTATTTACTTTTCTAAAAGTTAAAACTATAAAAAAATTATAATACTTTCACAAAAGTCACTTTTTTAGGTCAATCAGCTTATGCGGCCTCTTTTATTGCTGCCTAATTTAAGTGCGGCCTCTAACGGCAAAAAGGTTCCCCACCTCTGCGCTATACAATGAACCGTATAGACCCAGTGATTACTTTTTTGACAAAAAGGTTCACGAACCTGTGCTGAAATAGCGATTGCAATGGTATTTTGCATATTGCTGTCGGTATTATTATGTTATATTTCGCATGCATTGTAAATTGTAACAGTTCGGGATTAGTTGCCTGACAGTTGAGTTGTGTATTACCAAACCGCACATTTGTTTTTGTCGGCCGGAGATTGTTTACGGTTGCGGGTCGTTGGCTGCGCCATTGCCCTGACATGGCCCCCGCATTGGAGCCGATATCAATTATTATTATACCCCGTTCGCTTTCCGTCGAAGGTGTGGAAATCGATAATTTCTCATTATTCGATAATCTGTCATGTAACACTCTGTTCTTATTACATTAAATTAGGTGAGCCAATATATCGACGGTGACACCACTTATATTAAACCCTTTGCGCTCTATTGCCGCCTTATTTACAGCATTGCAATATAGAACTTTTGCAATGCTGTAATCAAAAGGGTAAAAAATTCCATTATATTTAAAATTCCTATATATTTATTATTAATAAAAAACATTATTAGTGATCGATGCAACAAAATGTGAAAATGAATTATCTGACAAATTTACGATATTGACGACAGAATTAGATAGCATCATTGTTTTGTGATATTTTTTCAAACAGAGTGAAATTATAACATAAAACTAGTTGTGTATGGCATCGTGCTTTAAGGCAAATTGCTGGTACTTTCTGTACCGTAACAAAATGTTAGAGAAATATTAAATGTTTTCATACAGATTATGATAAATACTGTAACATTGTCTAATATTTATAAGAATTATATAAACTAAATTACAAAGGTAAAATTATTTATTTAAAGTACATAAGTGAGCTTTAGAACTTTAGCCAAAATTAAAATTAAAATCTGAATTATTTTCGATATACAAAAAAATTGGAAATATTTTTTTTCCTCCTAAAAGCAATTATTTTGTCTAAACAAGCAGAACGTTTTTTGAATCATTCAAATCGGATGCTTAGTTATCTCAAAAACTGCCATTTTTTGCACATTTAGCTTGGTCCTGCCTTTACCAAAAACTAATCAGCACATCTCCCCATTCATAGGAATCGAATGTTTTTTGAACCATTCAAATCGGTTGATTCGTGCGCCCGAAAACATGAACGAAAAAATGCGGACAAACAAAACACACACACACACATACATTTTTTCTGAGGTATGCAAAAATGTCCAGAATTCTTGAAAACGTGAAGAAATGCAACAATTTCCATTTTTGATTTTCGGCCCATTACTATAACAACCCGGAAGATAAAAATGAAAATTTTTGCATATCATCACGTTTTAAAGGTCTCTGAACATCAGAAAAAATAGATGCAATATAAGTTAATTATTATCAATTAATTATATGTCAAAGTTCACAATGCCTAACTCTATTGGATGATATTTTACTATTACAATTTCTCTAATAATAATGATTCTTAATTTGATACAGCAATGCTGGAAAGGGCTATTTTCTCTTGAAAACATATTGCGAATAAATGGAATTTGATTAATATGAGAAAATGATCAATAATAAATATATGATTCAAATTGAGACTTCATAACTAAAATAGATACAATTTACAGCTCGGAATACTTTCAAATTTAGAATTCATGAATTCTATGTTAGTCGAAGAATATAATGCAAAGATACATGAGAGAAAAAAAAAAACTTTTTCCAAAACTAATCGTTTTGTCAACAAACGCAGAGAGATTTTTCAATTATTTAAATCGGATGCTTACTTATCTCGAAAACTGCCATTTTTTGCGAAAAACTAATCACCACTTCTCCCCTTCATTGCGAATTGAATGTTTTTTGAATCATTCAAATTGGATGCTTCGTTCTCTCTAAAACTCGATTTTTATTTTCTGCACTCTATGCTCCGTGTCTTCAAAATGGCTAGACCTGCCTTTGCAAAAAATTAATCAGCACATTACCCTATCAATAAGAATGCTTTGTGACGATGCGACACACAAAACACACACACACACTCACACACATTCATTTTTTCTAAAGAATTCCAAAATATTCAGATCCTCTGAAACGTGAAGATATGCAAACATTTTCATTTTCAATTTTTGGCCCACTACGATAACTTACTCTACGGAAGTTAATAACTCGTTTTCTGAAACTAATGACAAATCTAATAAAACAAATATCACTTACTGAAAAACAATTTCGATCATTCCTCCGAGACTTGATTACAACGTAACTCAATAATGGGTCTCACCTCATATATCAACAGTGTCGCAAATAAGAATATGCTCCGCTCGCCCGTTGCAAAAGTCATTTCAATTTACTTCAGACGACAAGTCATTCCGCCAAGAGTAAAGTATATATTATCCTCCTAGACTACGGCAGCTTATCCTAGACTTATTTTTTCTTATTTATTCGCATCCTTCCTGTTCGCCATTCTGGTATTCGCATCAGGATCAACTCGGCCTCGCCCCGGCATGTTTACATTTACGATTCTGTATTTGTTTTATTGGGAGAGAAACGGAAATCGCAACATCACAAGTGTGCACAATATTTAAATGTTGCTTTTTAAAAAGAGTTTAAATTGAAATTCCATTTGCAGATAAATAGAACTGATGAAGTATGTCTGTGTATGTAATTATAAATTTTTTATTGCATACGTAATATTTTTTATTCTATCTATAAAGTTACTAATGATGGTCAGTTTTTTTATTTATCTTTACTTTTATATTTTTTGTAAAAAAGATTTTGGTTATTTATACTTAATATAACATTTTTACTTCACAATTTGTTTTTCAGCTTTTATTTTTCAAATACAAATATCTTTTATATCATTAACTATAAATGTTAACGCGTCACTCCCAACCCTGGTATAATTATAATATTTTATTATCTCCATGCAGGATAGCGACAATAAACCCTTTCATTGTTACGCGTCCTGTCGCAAATTCAGTAATCCATTTTTCCTAGAATTTTTATCACCTGTCCCTAACTACATCATCCTATAATCCTTATATTTCCAAGAAATTCGCACTACCTGTATCAAGTTTAAATTCTTCGTATCATGCAATTTATCAACCAATACCTGATCGATTGATAAATGTAATAACCACTGATTGGTTCCAAAATTGTAATGGGGTGTCCTTAACTCCACAAAATGGGCCAATCAGAAAAATATATAAAATTATAAAATCTACATAATTTGGTATCAACTAAAATTTCACTTAGTTAAGATCAGTCGTAAATCAACACTCAAAACTATAACATGTAATTCAAACTTCAACTATCTAATCATCTATAAGTCTTAATATTCTTTAAATATATAATAATCAAACAGTTATTCATCATCTTTTATTCATATTATCTTTTCAAACGGTCTGATATAGCCAACAGCTAAGTATATCTGGTCCTTCGGCAAAGTGCAAGTGTTCAATAGAGTTCGGCAGCATCCAGATAGATCACGAACTTCTTAAACACTTTGAACCTATCTAAACAAATACTTTTTTGGCCATCAAAACCGAATGGTCATTTTACTAAACATTTTTTGGTCCAATTCGAACCGGATCAACCAGTGAAAGTGGAACATTAATCTAAAATCTAAAACTTAAAACATAGTGCACAGTGTAATTAGTTAAATCATCATTTAACATAATACATTGCATCGCATAAACATTAATCTAAAATCAAATTTAAACAACGATTATATCAACAACAATTCAAACAATTAAATCAAACTAACATCAACCTTAACAATAAATCTCAGTGTAAGTGCGGTGTGTATTATCGTGAAACAACAAGAAGCATAATTATAGCACAATAAAGCTGCTGCACATTATCAAGGAAACAACAGCTGAATCCAAATCAGCTCATCAAGAACAACTGAGGACACGGGACGCCGACAACACAAAGGTCAGAGTAATTTTAAGCACTCCTTTTAATTCTATCCCTATACCCATTGTCTATACCTAACGTTTTAAAATTATTGTACTAGATCTGTGTTAATATGGATTCTTTAAAATCTTTGAAAAACAAAAAGAAATTCATGAAATCTCGTTTAACCCAAATTGATAATTTTTGTAAAGGAATAGGAGAAAATGCAAGTAGTGAAACAGATATATCAGAATTTGAACATATTTTAGCGGAGTTAAAGCCCTCTTTGAATACATTTCAGGATCTATTAATCGAAATGGCAAGCATTATTGATGATGATGAGCAAACAAACAAACTAATAGATACTGAAATGTGTGATTTTCATAATACTTATAGTAAATGTATCTTAACTTTAGAAAGAAATATTAAAAAATTTAAAACAATATCTAGTTCAAGTAGTAGCATCGGTGACAATTCCAATCAAACAAACAATATTAAATTACCAGTAATCAATTTACCTCATTTCGACGGTACTTATCTAAATTGGTTACAATTTTATGATTCATTCAATTCGATTATTCACAACGACCAAAATATTAGCAATTCCCAAAAGTTCTATTATCTAAAATCCTGCCTAAAGGGCGAAGCAGGTAATATAATCGAATCACTACCTGCTACCGCGGACAATTACATCATTGCTTGGGAATTGCTAAAATCGCGGTATGAGAATAAAAAACTTATCGTAAATAACCATATAAAATCATTGTTCAATTATCCGTCCATTCCATCTGAATCGGGCAAAGGCCTCCGGGATCTAATAGACACTTTCAATAAACATCTAAGGTGTTTAAAAGCGCTAGAACAACCTACCCAATATTGGGATCCGTTAATTAACTATTTACTACTTTCAAAAATTGACAAAAAAACCCGTCAAGAATGGGAATTGTCTCTAAATAAAGGCTCGGAACTAGTAACATTTTCAGAACTTACAACATTTCTAAATCAACGCTGTCAAGTATTTGAATCGATTAATCTAAACGAGTCTAGCAATAATAAACATAAAAACATTGTTAGCCTTAGAAACAATATAAAATCATATGCGGTAACAAACAACACGAACTGCATTTTCTGTAATCGTAGCCGACATTCGCCATTTTATTGCGAAACATTTAAAACCTTATCTCCTCAGGTCAGACTTTCCAAAGTGAAAAATTTAAAATTATGCGTAAATTGTCTGCGAAGCAATCATACGGCGCAAGAATGTTTCTCTTCAAATCGATGCAACACATGCAACGCAAGTCATCATACTTTATTACATATCGAAAATGACAAAACACCATCGAATCCAATTCCAACAACGTCGCAAAATGTTTCATTACACAGCGAAAATAATTCTCATCAAATACTCTTGCCCACGGCATTAATAAACATTTTAGATTCTAGAAACAATTGGAGAGTTTGCCGAGTATTACTTGACTCTGGCTCGATGTCTAATTTTATTTCGGAAAAACTGGTTAATGACCTGGGACTAGACAAACAAAATATAAGCATGCAAGTCAGGGGCATCAATCAAAGTTCTTCGGAAATAAAAGAAGAAACAACCGTAACAATAAAATCACGCGTCGCGCATTTTACATCCAAACTATCATGTCTAATTCTGAAAACTATTACATCAAATATTCCAGCAATATCATTCAATTCGAACAAATTTAAATATCCGAAACACGTAAAATTAGCAGATCCCACGTTTAATAAGAGCGATAAGATTGATCTTTTAATAGGTTCCGAACTATTTTGGGAAATTTATTGCGAAGGTAGTATAAAGCTCGACAAAAATCAACCAATATTACATAACACCAGGTTCGGTTGGATAGTTGCTGGGAAATTACCGTTTAATGTACCAAATTCTTTCACTATGTGTAATTATTCTACTAGTTTAGAATCGCAAGTGCAAAGGTTTTGGGAATTAGAGGCTTGTAATAATATACAACACTTCACCGAAGACGAAAAACGTTGCGAACAACACTTTATTGCTAATACGTCTAGGGCAAGCGACGGTCGGTTTATTGTAAAAATCCCGTTCAAAAATAACTTCAAAGATATCGGATGTAGCAAACACATAGCTTTAAAAAGATACATATCACTAGAAAATCGTTTAAAATTCAATAAAGATTTATCAATCGAATATAAACAATTTATGAATGAATATATATCATTAGGTCACATGACCGAGGTTAATGACTTAAATGAACCTTTAACTAACTTTTATTTACCTCATCATGGAATTTTAAAACCACATAGTTTAACGACAAAATTACGAGTAGTTTTCGATGCTTCATGTAAGTCCGATAACGGTCTGTCATTAAATGAACTTCAACTTGTCGGTCCTACCATTCAAAATGACATATTTTCAATAATACTAAGATTTAGACGACATACTTTTGCACTCACCGCTGATATAGAAAAGATGTACAGACAAGTTTTAGTTCATCAAAATGACAGAAAAATGCAACGGATATTCTGGCGGAACGAAGCATGTGAAAAAATAAAAATTTACGAACTTAACACGGTAACCTACGGAACCGCTTCAGCTCCTTTCTTGGCAATTAGGTGCCTAGAACAATTATCAAAAGAAAATATTATTCAATATCCGATTGAAAGCGATATTATTAAAAACGACTTCTATGTCGACGATTTATTAACCGGAGCCAATTCAACAAAGGAATTATTTGCAATTAAACAAAATTTGATAACTATTTTAAATCAAGGCAAATTTAATCTATATAAATTCAATTCAAATAATCACAATCTTCTAAATGATCAGAATCCATGTCTCAATATCGGCGATGAAACAGTTAAAACGCTGGGCATGACATGGAATTCCATATCAGATTGCTTCAAATTTAATACTAGTAGTATCAAAATAAATAAAAATATTAGCAAAAGATCAATTTTAGCCGCAACAGCTCAAATATTCGACCCTATTGGGCTTCTATCGCCTTTTATAATAATACCCAAATTAATTATCCAACAATTATGGCGTTTAAACATATCTTGGGACGAGTCAATACCGTCCGATATAGAAAATAAATGGAAATTATTTTGCAAAGATCTAAAATTTATTGATGATATAAATATCGACCGACATATGTTTTGTAAAGATTATGTAAACATAGAATTGCATGGCTTTGCAGATGCGTCCGAACGAGCTTATGGTGCATGCGTATATATACGATCAGCTAACAAAAATTCAAACTTTAAAATTCAACTCATTACTTCCAAATCTAGAGTAGCACCATTGCGTAACATAACACTGCCGCGACTTGAATTATGTGCAGCGCACTTATTAGCAAATCTTATACAAAAAATCAAAACAGCGTTAAACATCAACTTCGATAGGGAATTTTTTTGGAGCGATTCAACAGTTGCTTTATCATGGATTAAATCTCCATCCTACCGTTGGAAAACATTTGTTGCTAATAGGGTAGCCGATATCCAAACTAAAACTGATATCAATAACTGGTTGCATGTTAAATCACAAGACAATCCCGCTGACTTAATATCACGGGGAATTTTCGCGCGCGATTTAATAAATTCTTCATTATGGTGGAACGGTCCATCATGGCTACGATATCCAATAAAAATCGATCAGCATAATAACAACATACCTACAACAGATGAGGAAAGTCGTACTACTACCCTAATTTCCATTATTGACGAAACAAATGAATTATTTAATCGCTATTCATCCATCACTAAACTGATTCGTGTCGTAGCTCATTGTTTACGTTTTTCTAACAATTGCAGACCAAAGAAAAAAGTGAGGGTACGCGGACCTTTACAAGTATGTGAACTGAATATTTCGCGTATGCTTTTAATAAAGTTATCTCAAAACGAAGCATTCAAAAAGGACATAAGTAATATAATAAAGAATGGGTCGGTAGATAAAACTTCTAATTTAAAAACGTTAAATCCTTTTCTTGACGAAAACGGAATACTTCGCGTTGGAGGTCGCTTAAAAAACTCAAACATTGGTTATAGCAAGCGTCATCCAATAGTTTTGCCGAAAAAACACATATTAACAACGTTAATTGCGAAATATGAACACTTGAGACTATATCACTGCGGGTCTCAAATGTTGTTAAATACTTTACGCAATAATTATTGGCCAATGGGGGGTAGAAATCTAACTAGAAACATAGTCAAAAATTGCATAACTTGTTTCAAAGTTAAACCAACTTCAATAAACCCATTAATGGGAAACTTACCAACACATCGAATAACCCCTCAAACGCCATTTTCGACATGTGGCGTCGATTACGGAGGTCCCATAATTCTAAGAGATCGCCGTACCAGAGGTTATAAAAAATATAAAGCATATATCTGTTTGTTTGTCTGTTTTGTCACCAAAGCTATTCACATTGAACTAGTATCCGATTTGACCGCGGAGTGTTTTTTAGCAGCTTTGAGACGATTCACTGCACGCCGCGGCAAACCTAGCGATATATTTTCGGACAATGGCACTAACTTCGTAGGTGCAAATTCTGAATTAAACGAATTATCTAAATTTTTACAAAATAAATCTATTAAATCTACCATTACAAACAATCTATCAATTGAGTCTATATCCTGGCATTACATTCCGGCAAATTCTCCTCACTTTGGGGGGCTTTGGGAGGCAGGCATTAAATCATGTAAAGCCCATTTAAAACGCGTTCTTGGCAATGCATGCCTTACGTTCGAAGAATTTTACACAGTATTAACACAGATCGAAGCAATATTAAACTCAAGACCACTATCTCCATTAAGCTCTGATCCCAATGATTACAATCCTTTAACTCCCGGCCATTTTTTAATTGGCAAACCACCCACATCAATCCCAGATCCATGTGTGCTTGAAATTCCGGAGAATAGGCTGTCATGCTATCAGCGTCTTCAGAGACTGACGCAACACTTTTGGAAGCGGTGGTACAAAGAATATATATCGGAACTACAAGTGAGAACAAAATGGCACAAATATTCATCAGAACTCATTAAAGTCGGTAATATGGTACTATTACGCGATGAAAATTTACCACCACTACGGTGGCGATTGGGTCGAATCATAACACTACATCCCGGAGAAGACGGCATCGTGCGAGTGATAACAGTGAAAACAAACAATAATTTAGTGAAACGTGCAGTATCAAGAATCTGTGTCTTACCAATTGACGATAAATAATTTGAAACAATAAAACAAACAAAGTGTTGTGAAGTGTAAATTATTAACAATCATTTGAAACATTTAGACAATTAAAAACCTTTAGTTAAGTGTCAATAATCAACAATCAATTTGAACATTTGGACAATTTTAAAGACTCTAGTAAAGTGTCCGTGAATAAGCTAACATTATATCCATAATCATTATCATTCATTAATCAATCTATTATCAATATTATCATCAAATGTCATGTGCTATCTATAAACTTTCAAAACATTAACATTAACAAACTAGGATTAAGCAACGTTAAAAAAATATTCATAATTAATTCCTCATAATTTTTTAAGTCCGGGGGCATGTTAACGCGTCACTCCCAACCCTGGTATAATTATAATATTTTATTATCTCCATGCAGGATAGCGACAATAAACCCTTTCATTGTTACGCGTCCTGTCGCAAATTCAGTAATCCATTTTTCCTAGAATTTTTATCACCTGTCCCTAACTACATCATCCTATAATCCTTATATTTCCAAGAAATTCGCACTACCTGTATCAAGTTTAAATTCTTCGTATCATGCAATTTATCAACCAATACCTGATCGATTGATAAATGTAATAACCACTGATTGGTTCCAAAATTGTAATGGGGTGTCCTTAACTCCACAAAATGGGCCAATCAGAAAAATATATAAAATTATAAAATCTACATAATTTGGTATCAACTAAAATTTCACTTAGTTAAGATCAGTCGTAAATCAACACTCAAAACTATAACATGTAATTCAAACTTCAACTATCTAATCATCTATAAGTCTTAATATTCTTTAAATATATAATAATCAAACAGTTATTCATCATCTTTTATTCATATTATCTTTTCAAACGGTCTGATATAGCCAACAGCTAAGTATATCTGGTCCTTCGGCAAAGTGCAAGTGTTCAATAGAGTTCGGCAGCATCCAGATAGATCACGAACTTCTTAAACACTTTGAACCTATCTAAACAAATACTTTTTTGGCCATCAAAACCGAATGGTCATTTTACTAAACAATAAATATCTATTATATAAAAATAAGTTGGGTTTTCCTTCCTGACGATATAACTCCAGAACGCACGAACCGATTTCGACGATTTTGCATTCGTTGGAAAGGTCTCGAACTCCGTGAGGTTTATAGCAAAGAAAATTGAAGAAAGATTTCAACAGAAAAGCGGAAAACGCGTTTTCTTTTTTTTACATACAGCGTCATCTCTGATACTTAGCATGTACTACAAACTAATATTTTTTGTTTGACTGCTACTCATTGTTCTCTGCTCAGTTAATTTCATGTGACAAACCGGCATTGTGGTCACTATGTATATGTGCAAAAAAAAAGTAAAAAAAAAGTTATGCATTTTCTAACATTTCAAAACCATCAAATCAATCACGTGTATTGTGTAAATTCTTATTCAATTTCAACAGCAGGCAATTTTTTTCTTCATCTTTTAATCACCAAACGAAATGTTACATAAATGAAACCATCTGGTGGTGAAACGGAGTTCGCCCAGTTTGCTAGTATAATTATATAAAATGTTCACCACCGATATTTCAAAAATAAAAATGTCAAGAATTTTTTAACAACAATATTTGAAAGTTGAGAAGAAAGGATGTATTTCTATCTGGAGATAAACGACAATGTTTAAAAATCCAATCCAAACCAAAGTATTTTTTTCGTTAGTCTTTTTGCTTATGAGCACTGTTGTTTAGTTTACGATACTTCAATATGGTATAATATAGTTCAGTATACATTATTTAATTGTTTTTTAAGACATATTTTTAAGTTATATTGTACATTTTTTATTTATATAACCTTTATAGAAGCTTACACTTAGGTGGGGTTAAAAGGACCAACTAAACCTTTACTCTGACAAAGTTGTCAACAACAAAAAAAGAGTAAATAAATAAATAAATCGAATTAAAGAAAACAAGAGATTAATTAACTAAACAGTTATTACAACTCTTCCAGATCAAGTGTATATTACCTTGATCTGGTATTTTGTCTAGGGGTAAAACTGACATTTTTTTTTATTCATTTATTATTATACAGCAATCAGAACATTAATTACATTCTATGAGCTGCTATGCTATTGTATATAAACTAAAAAGAATAAACTAAATAAGAATAAATAAAGATAATAACATAAAAATAGTAATTAATAATAATAATAATATATAATAATAATAAATAATAAAATAATATAATAATACTGCAAAAAAAACATTAAATTAACTAACATATTTTGATGATTTACTATAAAAAATATAGAAATTGTTCCATTAAACACTTTGCTAGATTAGGATATTATCCATTGGTGATTTACGCTTGAGCCTCCTGGAATGTGGTATCTCAAGCAGTTGTGCAACTATTAAAATGACAACATGGCAAATTTTTGAAAACCAACAAAAAACACACTTCCACAATGATGAAATAGCTCGGAGCTTTACTGAACATAGTCAGAAAGTTGTTAGTTTGATATGTGTTATTTGTTTTGATATAATTGGTTTGGTGTTCACAATATGATTGTTCTACATCATATTGGACCTTTGTGCCCTGTTCTATCTCTACGTACAGTTACACATTTAAAGACATGAAAAAACCATATACATAAAATATATTTCCATTTTATAACATTTTATAAACATGTCAGATAAATAAAAGTTAGAACATCATAAATATTTAAAAAAAATCTTAAACATTGCCGATAAATAAAATATTAAACAACATATTGTTTCGTTTCAAATATATATAGAACGAAATGTAATTATATATTTTTGGATAAAATATAAAAGCACCATATTATAGGGTTCTGGGTACAAAACTCCATTTCAAACAACTTGATATCAAGTAGTAGCAACAAAAACTCTTTCTCTTTAGAAAGCCTTCAGGGCTTTGCAACAGAATCACAATTGCTAAAAATGACTAAAGGATATTAGATTGCTTTCTAATAGCGTTCAGGTGTAAAATAATCATATATCTCAATTAATAAGGACAATCATTAGGTTGCCTTCTAGTCAGTGGCGTACCTAGGGGGGGGCGGTGGGGGCGGTCCGCCCCGGGCGGCACTTATTTTGGGGCGGAATTTTTTAGTTTATTTATACATAGTTGTAAAAAGCAACTTATTCATTTCATATTTATTAACTTCCGTAGGGTAAGTTATAGTAATGGACCGACAATCGAAAATGAAATTTTTTACATTTCTTCACGTTTTGAAGGTTTCTGAACATTTTGGCATACCTCAGAAAAAATGGAAGTGTGTGTGTTTTGTGTGTCCGCATTTTTTCGTTCACGATTTCGGGCGCCCTGATCAACCGATTTGATGGTACAGAAAATAAAAATCGAGTTTTTGAAAGAATGAAACATCCGATTTGATTGATGCAAAAAACTTCAATTTGTAATGATGAGGAGAAGTGGTGATTAGTTTTTCGCAAAGGCAGAGATACCAAGCAAAATGTGCAAAAAATATCTGTTTTTGAGAGAACTAAGCATCCTATTTGAATGATTCAAAAAACTTTCTACGTGGATTTTATTTTGAATTCTACCTAAAGTTCAAATGCTCACTTAAATACTGGAAATAAATAATTTTAACTTTGTAATTCAGTTTATATATTTCTTATAAATATTAGACAATGCCCTTTATTTCAAATTTGATTGATTGAGTTTTGTTTATTTACTTTTCTGTAAACATATATAAGTTACAGTATTTATATTTATATATTTGAAAACATTTAATTTTCCTCGAATATATCATTACGGTACGGGAAGTACCAGCAATTTGCCTTAACTTACAATGCCATGCACCACTATTTAACTTCCCCGAGGAGAAGTTTATGTTTTCATAAAAAATCCGAATCGCTAATTTTATGTTTTCTCGACGTTTCAAGCCAATCTGAATCGAATGAGCACAAATTTAGAAAAAGTATGTGTGTGTATGTGAACAGATTTTTTGTCGTAAATTGTCGTTTTTTCAAAAACGGCTAGACCGATTTCAAAAATTTAAAAGCCATTCGATGTATCTCGATGAGAACTATCGTTTTCCAGATTTGGGCTACGATCAGCGGAACCGTTTCTTTGAAAATCGCAGAAAAGTAAAAAAAATCGTGCACGTTTTAGCCCGCAATTCTGAATCGATTTTGAAAACTCAAAAACCGTTCGAAAGATATTGATTGGGAATCGTGCTGATTAGTTTTTGGTAGAGATCGGCCGGGCCGTTTTCTTAATAAAGTTTTTTAAAAAAAAATTCGACGATTTTTATGATTATTTTTTGACGATAGATACCATAGTCTTCTAGATCATACTAAAATATTACGGTCCTACGACAACTGGTTTAGCTTTAAAAATTCGTCAAAGTTTGCAAAAATTAGTATGGTTTTTTTAGCATTTGTCAAAATTAGACCTTGATCGACGTTTTCTCAAAAACGCCTGAATCGATTTCAGAAATTTAAAAACCATTTGATGTATCTCGATGAGGCATATCGTTTCTCAGTTTTGTGCGACGATCGTCCGAGCCGTCTTTTTGTAATCTGGAAAGAAGTGTTAAACCTTTCGTCCACATTTAAGATCATACTACCGAACCGATTTTAAAAAATTAAAAACTGTTCGAAAGATATTAGTTGGGATTGATACTGATCAGTTTTAGGTGAAAATCTACCGAGCCGTTTTCTTGTAATTAACTGTTGAAAACAAATTTAAGCCGATTTTTATGAAACTTTCTTTGGCGATGTATATCAATGCCTTATAGAACTTACTAAATTATTACGGCCTTACGACAAGCAGTTTAATTTTAAAAATTTATCAAAGTTAGAGAAAATGTTTTTTTGACGTTTGTTAAAAATAAAATTAGATGATTTAGTTGGTATAACGATAGTGTACTTGGTCTTGAACATAGTAAACCATTAAAGTCCTACGGAAACCGGTTCAATTATAATTATTGATTAATTAAAATTATTGATTTTTGAAAATTTGCTTTTAGAAAATACTCCGA